CAGTCCCGCGGCACAAATGAGCGCGAACGACGCCTACAGGGAGGGTTGCGAGTGCAAAACTGAGAGAGAGAAATAATAGATAGGAAAGGCAGGGAGGTTAACCAAGCTTGGCTCGGTTGGCTACCCTAGACTAGGGGTGGGGAAAGAGAAAACGATAGAAAGAGATAGACAGAAAGAAGAGTAAGAAAAAACTATGAACCCTCTCCCCGAAGGGAACCCTGATTGGATGAAGCAGCAGCGGTGCGCATGGCATTGACCCGGTTGAAACGGGCGTCGACGCTAGTGCTGGGAGAACGATTTGAAGTGAAACTGTTTGAAGCGAGAACGATTTGAAGCATCGGTGTTACCCGCGCGCCGTCTCTATTTCCGAATGCGATCGGCAGGCATTCTTCGCACCTCGTCGGTGTCATGGTCTACCAACGCTTGCGTTCAGCTTCCCTGGCTCGCGCCTCGTCGGTGTTCCAGGCGCGACGTCACCATTCGCGAACACGATCAGCTTCGCTAACCTCCAAAGCCGGCGACGGCTTGGAAAGATACACGCACACTAGCGGGAAGCATGCCCAGGCGGCGTCTCGCCCATCGGCATGTTCGCGCGGCAAGCAGCGGCGCGCTGTCCACACTGCCGGCACCGCGGAACCACGGCCGGGCTAGACGACGGCGCGCCTACCCGCGGCTTCTTCTCGCCGACAGATGGAGAGAGGAGGCGCGCGTGAGGAGATGAAGCCGACGTGAGGAGTGCGCTCGAGAATTGTGAGCGGTGGAGAGGGTGAAGCGAGAGATGACATGCGGAGAGCGGCGACAGACTAAGGAGAGAGTGGCGTCACGCGCGCGCACTGCGAGGGAAGGCGTGGCCTACTTGGCACTTGGATGGATTAACGTCATCCCAGCTTCTGTACTAAAACCTCTTGGGATGTGCAACTTTGTGAGTTTATAGCCAGCAAGTCTCGAAAAGTAGCTCCGAATGCACCGAAGCTGGAGCAGATTGCACACTTGACCGACACCATCAATGTTTAGGCAATTTCAAGCTATCTTCTGTAACTTCAACATTTCTGAACTACCATTGGCCGTATATGATTGGTGCATTACACTGTAACAACTATGATATTTGTTTGCCCTTCATAATTTCAGCATTGAGCTGTAAGTGTTCTGATGAAATCCAAACACTGCTTCATGGTAGTGACAGCTGGGACTTGTTGGTCAACATAGCTCATTTTTGCAGACCGACCATATGATCGTTTTCATTATTACGTTTCTTTGACACACGACGCTTGCATTCAATGCATGCTTGAAATTGTATTGTCACTGTTGCAAAGCATTTCATGTAAGTTGTGGAGGACTGAGTACGAACAATGATTTAACGCGGCAAGTGGCTTGTTGGTATAGAGGAGCACTTTAAGACATCACTGTGTTTATTGTGCCAGTAAACACTAATTGAACATCTCTGCATGAAGAAAGTAGTCCTTCAACACACAATTATTTTATAGCAAGGAGGCTTGAAGCAGGAATATTTCGTGATCGGGTCTCCTCTCGTTGCATATCCCATTTCATAGTGATCGTGACAAGGAAGCCACTGCCAAATTTGCGACTTGCTAAGCTAGATATTGGACAGAGTTGTCAACGACCATGCGCTGCTCTTAATATAGCTTGTGTTTTCAATGTACCAAATAAACTCTGCCTTTTCAAGATCATGCTAGAAACAAGCAATACTTGAGAAGTTAAATTGTTGAATGATCGTCAGTACATATAGCTGTCAGCAGTGTGAAGTGGAACACTGATATTGCCTTTCAGGAGTCATAGCGGCTAAATGTAGTTGTCAAAAACTGAAATGATCATGACACTTAATGCTCAAATGAAACGCTAGTTATCTCATGAAATTATGTACGACAAACTCAATAGCACCTTGCATGTAACCCGAGAAACCTGAATTCGGCTCTCCAGCTCATAAATTGCTCCCAACAGTACATTTGCCAGATGTCCAAATCCTCATTGCAGGTCGAATGCGTCGGCAGTCCAATGCGACTCGTTATTTATTCCGGCTAAACAGTGTGCTCCCGAATGCATATCCCATACACTTCACGCACAAAATCTGACCGTAGAGTATAATTTTCAATCTCATGGCAATATTTTTGTGACTAAAGTATGCAATAACAAACAGGACGGTCAAAGGCTAGCGAGCCGTTGACAAAAATAGAACGGGACAAAACGGTAAAAATGCACGCGAGTGAATGTGTGAAAGCGGCGTTGTGCGTGAATATGAACATTACAGGTCTATCAAAACAGCATGATTCATTCCGAGCACTGTGTGGCATAAAGGTTTGAAGCGTTAACAGTGTTTATGCCACATCTACGTAGATATACGAAAAAATTCTCTTTAGCTTGCGTCACATTTCTAAAACACAGAGTGGTAATTTTCACACTTGTTTTCTCGAGCCATTTACTAAATATTTTAAAGCGCGGCATCAAAAAATACGTAAAACGAATGATTAGTTGAATTTGTTTTTTTTTTGTGCAGAATCGTTTTTTTTTTTGTCCAGAAAAGATATTACTCGCGATAGTGACTGTCCTATCTGGGTTTATTGTTGGTCCGAGCTTTCCATATTTTTTTTTCTTCTTGTAAGCGAGTCATTGCGCCAGCGCCGGCCCATAACCAGTATTTTTTTTTTTTCGCGGGGGTAGGGGGCGACTTGCTGAAGACCTTAAAAAAAAAAGTCATTTTTACGAGTCATTTTCAGTAAAATACACGTACCCAGAGTTTCGAGCTTCTATCCCCCCTCCCTTCAGCTATGGGCCAGCGTCAGCGACGCGTTATGAACGGGCGTAAACTGTGAAAGTAGACGGAGCCGCTGAGCCGCGTCGGCTCCTACATTCCAGAGGGGTGGCTTTCCTGCTTAACACGGACGCGCCTGCGGGCAAGATGGCAGACCTATGCGCCACTCTACTACCTACAGTAGCATATACAGTAACTTTACTCCGCCCCGGTGCGGAGGGACAACGTGACACAGGCTAGCCAAACAGGTGCTTCGCATCAATAAATTCTCGTTAGTGTCGCGTGTAGGAGTCGCTACGAAATCAAACGGGCAGGGCACCACTGTGCCACCGGCACTGTGAAAAAAAAAACAAACAAAAGAAACGGCCGGACTAGGCGCATGAGGGGGAGCCAGCCAGTGGCACCCGCGCTATCAGCAGCACACACGCGCGAACCCAGAAACCGTTTTTCCTGGAAACCGCAGAACCACATTCGACGAAATTCGACGGTTGAAATCTGGGGGTCGCCCCAAGGCAATGTTTATTTAGACCGTCGAACTTCTCTGAAAAACCGTTGAACATTTGAGAAATTTCGGAAAACGAAACTATGAAGCTTTCAACTCAGAAATGACAAATTGTATGAAAATTATTTCAACAAAAGCACACAGAATTAAGTGTCGACGTTCGTATGAGATAGTAGGTAAGGACACGAAACAGCCAGCTGTTATATTTTCTGTTAATAAACGAATTTTTTTTATTTATTTTCATCGCAAAAATGACAGTTCCTCCTATGTACTTATTCTGCTGACAACAGTCAATATCATTAACCTTATTTCTCATATGCAGCAGATAACACAGATCAGTCATTGGTTAGTCTAATAAACGCGTTTGGCATTCTATATTCATTTCAACGCGTGGCATCAGCGTTTGCTCCATGCTGAAGCTTCTCGGCAAGAATAACGAACACATATCTACGTTAGCCAGCAACTTTACTTGAGCCCCATGACTGTATAGATTGAAAACAGGCTGATCTGCTTCGATAGTGTAGGGATACACTTCCGGGAAAACAGCAGTGATAGATAAACTCGCCACCTTGAGATAAGATACGACCATAAATACCAGCGTGATCAGAGTGTCTGATCTGTTAGTCCTCAAAGCACAAACTGTGAACGCAGAATGCCAGTTGCGGAACTGATTACAGCTAAGCATCGGCTTGGTTCAGTTTTTCTCTTTGTCATTTTCTTTTCTGGCGCAGCCTCACCTAAAGCATCACACGATGCACTTTTTTTTTTTCTTGAAAAGTTTTGAAGTTATAGCCATCAATTTCTCTGACATACATTTAGATGACTGATGGTCTGCGACGTCGGAAAGAAACTCCGAGTTTTCCCAACCCCGTAAGGAGCACTCCTTATCAATTTTCGGCTTCTGGTATAGAACGACCACGCTTCTACAAAAGTAGTTCTATGAAAGTAGAAAGACTACCAAAAAAAAAAACACAGACGAAGGAGAGTACATAGGACGATCGCCCATCCTATGTGTACTCTCCTTCGTTCGCGTTTTTTCTCGTAGTCCAATAATGAGTTCACCTCGACCAAACGAAAGTTTTAATTATTACAGAGCGTCTTTGCATTTCGATTCCCTAAAAAGGCGGCTGCTAGGTTCGCGAATCGAACCCACGTCGTTCGTGTTCCAGAACGACGTAACGAGCGAGCCAAAGCGACAGTAATCACTATAGGTGTTTCCCTTTTGTGTGTGGATCGATTACCGCAATTGATCGACACGTGCTCGGCAGGAACCACAAAAGCTTCCGCTACTATTATTGTTATAAGACGGCCGTGAGCTGTACGACTTTAACTGTACTACTCAAGCTCTGAACTCTTTCTCCCAACGTACAGTGCAAAAGGTTCGTTAAAGATCAGTACACCCTCTTCATTCTAACACTTCAATGAGGGGGGCAACATTAACGAGGCTACGTTCTACTGTGGGTCAGACGTGGTAAGCCTTTATGCGGGGCAAAAATATATGTTTTTATTTAAAAGGGAGTGATTTGTATGTTTATTAAAATGTCGAATTTGTAAGTACGTATGGCCTCAGCTCGTGTCCCTGCCCCCCCCCCCCCCATGATTCAAGAGCGCGTAGGTAGGGGGGGGGGGAGGCGACGTCTGAGCAGCGGCCGTTGTCACCGAAAGTGAGATGCCACCGACGACCCATTTAGACTCGCTAGAGAGAGTAATAAAGAAGCGGCTTGTACTCACGACTGTTGGCGCGAGCAGCATCGCAGTCCCAAGGCAGCAGCAACAGCAACGCCGGCGACGTTCGAGGGGTCAGCCGTGCAGAATGGTGGTGGCATCAGCAGCCAGCGTGAGGGAGAAAAATGGAAGGGGAGAAACGTGACGGGGGAGAGGGCGATTAAGAGCGCTTTCCAAAGCAATGCTGCGCGCGCGTATATACTGCGTGCCGCTGCATATCAGCGGCGCAAGGCATGCACGGGTCGTATGGAAGCCAGAGGCGTGCTAGCGACCTCAGCCAGCTTCCAACACACCTGCGACACATTTACCGCGAGGGCCTGGCTCGGACTTCGCTGCCGCGAATCGCTTAACAGCTGACTCAGCACGCGTTATGGATAACTCGCTGCGTCAACGAGAGGCTCGTCCCGCGCGCTTTGTTGCAAAATCAGTCGTTTTTGTTGAGCTTTTTTTTTTATCCCCATAGCCTACAGCGGCCTTTGTGCTACGGAAATGCCGCCGCCACCGCCGTGTTGCCCCATCATGCACATGTCGAAAGCGTGCACATGCATACATAGCTGCGACACACACATCCGCCCTGCGGGCTGACGCATACGAATCAAAACGCTTCCAGTAGCAGCATAACGACCATCTACTTCAACAGGAACACATTCACAGATTCAAGGCAGCTTTCAACGGTGTAGCTTTCCCACACATCACCCAGACCACCCCGTGAAGCTGTTCCACAGTCGGAGCAGCGACAGTGAGCGGACGCAGGAAGTTTAAGAATGAGGACGAAACAAATCGGCACAAGTTCGAAGAAAAAAATCGCCTTTCGCAGTCACTTTTACGGTAAATGCATTGCGTGTAAGTACTCCCACGCAAGCTACGACAAGGGCGCCCACAGATCACGGCGGGCGAACATCTCAATTCAAAATGAAGGGCCCACTCCCGCGCTCGAAGTTCGGCCGCCAGTGAGAAGTTTCTCCAGCAGCGCGCAACGGAAAGGGCGCGAACCCACCTCCGGCATCCGCCCGATCGCTTCCTGAAAACGTCGACCGCGGCTCGCTTCGCGGATGCCACGTCCTTGAGAGAATCTCGCTAGGGAATGGGGCAACACCTCTACGAAACTCCCACCACGTTTGCGTGTGGGCCTCGACAGAGATAAGCAGCAGCCCGTTATTACGGGAAGCGCGCGGAACATTCATGAGCACCCGGCCACAAGCGCTTCCAGCGTGGAACGGCTACAGACGCCCTGAACTCCTCAGTCGTTTGCGTGCGTTTTCCAGTTCGCGCTTCCTCGGTCTCACAATCCGATCCAAGAAAGCACACACGTGGGAAAATTAGGTACTCGAAAACAGAGAATACAACAGTGGGAAGCCAACATACAAATTAGGTCGATCAAAACGCGACCGCATATAAGTTATGTTATGAATTAAAATGTCGAGGCACTAAGGTAAAAGAGAGAGTATGACGAAAATACAACTGTCAGCCGGTGAGAACGCCCACAGGTCCAGTATCCAAGGCTTGTTATTCCCTCGGAACAACATAACTCTCTCCCACACAATCTCGTCACTGCATTCCATTCGCTCGTCATCATATACAGATCCGTAACACCACACCGTGGCTTCGCTCGCTTCCGTACAAATCGCTTCTTTTCTTTGGCAGCTCACGTGAGAGATTCTGCAAGTACGCCGACGTGGTGCGTATAATATGTAGAACAGTGAGCGCACATATTCACATATTTAACCATCGCAGAAGACGCGTGCCAATATAAATGAGAATATATAAAGCTCCCGCGGCGGGCAGTTGATATCTTCCACAGAGTCAAAAGCGTGCTTTTTTAGACTGATCAAGAAGCCACATGCTCCGAAACTGCAGCTTGCAGACAGTGAGTTCAGTCCACAAACAGGCCTATATGGGCCACGCAGTGGAAATACCAAGGGCCGATTCCTGAACACAAGAGGCATGCACAAGCTGAAACTTTTATCATTCACGCTTCCGCTGCACTATACACGACAACAGATATTCCCAATCATATCTCGGGTGTCCCCGTATAAGCTCCGGTATTTCGCTCTCAAGATATGTGGGCACAACACTGCCAAGAACCACCACAGCGAGGCTGGGTTAATTAAACCCTTCGATTGCGTTTCGCCGCTGTCAGTGTCAATCTCGCCTCACACATTTTCGAAACCTTGGCCAAGCGATGGGGGGACCCTGGGAGATCCCGAGAGCGAGTGAACGCCATTAGCATGCACCCGCGAACAGCACGCGTATACAGTCGCCGCAGTGGCTCGTACGACGAAGGACAAACAAGGCATATGGGCGGCCGACGCCCCCCTCACTAGGCGAAAGAAAGCACGTGCTGCGAGTGAACGTTGAGGGAAGGAGTCACCAGCTGGCCAATGCATCCCAACAGAAGCACACCCCGCCATCACAATCTCTGCAGGGACACGAGTGGATTCAGCTATGGATTTCGTGGAAGTCCTTAAATACGGCGAAGACCCCGCGCCGCTCTACAGAGCGCCAACCGAGTTCCCGTGCAGTCTCCCAGCAGCAGTCAGCGAGGCGCAATACTTTCACACATGCTTGAGGCAGGGCGTGATTAACGTTCATTAATCGCTGCCAATAAACGAAAAAGTGGGGCGGCCAGTACACGAGCGAACAAGAAAAAAGCCAGAGAGGAAACAGCGCTAAAGGACAGACACCAGCCCCATCCCAAGGACGTCCGAGAGAAGGACCTAGCATCATAGACTGTTTGCCCATGCCTCGCCTGTCCCAAGCTTGTAGAGAGAGCGAAAAAAAAAAATCACGAACAACCAGCTAAGTGGACGCTCTTGCGGTGTACACTGCTGGCTCCGATAAGTTTATAATCTAGCGCCGCACGATTCGAAAACACGCGCCGTCTAGCCAAGCGCAAAAATGAGCGCACATACATGGCCAGCGGCGCCGCTCTTTCAGCGACCGTGAACGAAATGCCGGCGCGCACCGATCGGGCTGCGGCCACGCCCAGATTGGAGCACGCCTGAACGACCCTTCCGATGGGCAGGCGTGCTGAGCGGCTGGGAGGTCACATTACGCGGCTGATTGTCGCTCTTTACAGCCCACAGCCAACCGAGCGCGCTGTCTCCAATGACTGCGCACAACAACGCCGCGCACGATTGGCACCCCCAAATCACACGGCTGACACACTGAATGAGCGCTCTGGGCTTTGCCATTTCGGCGACTTCGTAGTGTAGATGGTAAGGTTTCAAATTCTCTTCCCAACTACTTCGCACAGAACAGCACGGCTGTGATAACTGCTAGCAAGCGCTCTAGCTTATTAGAGATGGGGTACACATTGCTACTAGAAAAACTAGGCACCCTCCTGACGGGAAGAGTACCAGAATTTTGGAACAATGCTAACATCATCTTAATACGTAAGAAAGGAGATGACAAGAGCTTGAAAAATTACAGGCCGGTCAGCTTGCTCTCCATCGTATGCAAGCTATTTACAAATGTATTGCTAACAGAATTAAGGCATCAGAATTCAATCAGCCAAAGGAACAAACAGAACTTCGGACAGGCTATACTAAACAATCGACCACATTCATACTATCAATCACGTAATAAAGAAATGCTCAGAATACAGCCAACCACCATACATAGCCTTCATAGATTACGACAAGGCGTTTGATTCAGTAGAAATATCAGCAGTCATGCAGACACTGCGGAATCAGGGCATGGGGGATATAATCTCGCCAATACTATTTACCACGTGCTTATAGGAGGTTTTCAGAGGCCTATAACGGGAAGAGTTAGGAATAAGAGTTAATGGAAAGTATCTTGGTAACCTGCGCTTCGCCGATGACATTGCATTGCTGAGTAACTCAGGGGACGAATTGCAACTCATAATTACGAAGTTAGAGAAGGAGAGCAGAAAGGTAGGTCTTAAAATTAATCTGCAAGAAACGAAATTAATGGACAACAACCTCGGAAGCGAACAGCGCTTCGAGATAAGTAATAGTGCACTTGAAGTTGTAAAAGAGTGTGTCTACTTAGGACAGGTAATAAACGCGGAGCCGAACCACGAGACTGAAGTAACTAGAAGAATAAGAATGCGGTGGAGCACATTTGGCAAGCACTTTCAAATCATGACTGGTAGATTGCCATTATCCCTAAAGAGGAAGGTATATAACAGCTGCATCTTAGCGGTACTTAGCTACGGAGCAGAAACCTGGAAACTTACAAAAAGGGTTCAGATTAAATTGAGGAGAACGCAGCGAGAGATGGAAAGGAAAATGCACTTTTCTCCTATGGGAATACGACGGGGAATCGAACCCGTCGCCTGTAATCTCAGCAGATAAACGCTACTTTAGGGGGCTGTTCTTCGGACGCATATCGATCAGCCCTTACTCATGTGACAGCCTCCAAATGACACAGCACCCCAGTTACGCTCGCTCCAAGTGACATTCATTTGTCCGCCTGACAAGAACTCATAATGAATGACAAGATACTAAATGACCAGCCCTAAATTCATTTTGTTTTTTCCCGTTCCATCAAATGTATGGGCTCTTTGAGTACCTGGTGCTGTATGACCCAATACCAACAAAACGAAGTACTCTTTTATCTCGGTGTTACGTTCAGCCCATCAACGAGCGAAATTTCTAGATTTCTCGTGCGGGTGGCTTAGACAGTATAACGTTTTGAAATTTTAACAATAAAGAAAATGGCATATTGCACTCCTTACAAATCCTTTATCTCACAAAAGGAGCTCTGGCTTAGCATACGGCCACATTAATATTTTCAATACGGCTCACATCAAATAATAGAAATCTCCAAAAAAAAATAAAACGAAAATCTCGGATACTTCGCTAATCCCAAAGAACGGGCATGCCGAGGAATACACGGAAAAATACTGGGCCACAGTTTCACATCTTGGCGCCGTTTGGCGCGATTGGCGCAGCTATCACATCACTGCGAGTTACGTCACACACGTTCAGATGCTCAAGTCCTGGCGCGACAGCGAAACTTCAATGTTCACTTTTTCTTCCAATAATGGACCTACGACGAGAGTTCGGAGCGAACACAATTTAAACAGCGTGGTATCGTAGTCCCTACCCCGTAACATCCCAGTCGTGGCTAGAAGTAATTGTTTCGTTAAAGAGAAAGAAAAAAATCTTTGCAGCAGTTCTCTACCAGCCGCTGCTTGTGGATTACCAGGCGGTGAAAGCGAGCAAGCCACAACCCGAACGCCTAGCGACATGATTCAACACAGGTG